TGGCTCCAGAAACCCTGGTGCTGGAGATGTGTGGTGACAGAAATAGTCCAGCAGGACAGAGAATTCCACCAGCTCAGACCTGCCCAGCAGCTGAGCTTTCCTGTGACTTTCCTTACCAGCATGTCCATTGGATTTTTACATCAGGTGGATTGCAGTAACCTGCTGGGATCTCAACCAAAAAGGCCACTCAGTTGACTAAACGTTTTTATTTTGCACAGGGATGCTCCTGTGCTGCCCCTCCATGACCTGGAAAAGCACTGGAACCTCCAGCAGCCCACTATTGTAGGAAAACTGAATTTTTACCAGAGCCTCTCAGAAAGCTTCATATTTAATACAAACACATAATTAGGTTTGTTTCCATAATTCCACCTTTCCTCTCCATGGAAGGGGTTAATATGCATTCCCAGATGATCTCTTAAGTGCAGCTCTGTGTAGTTCTTTTTTATGTTTTCCCATTAACTTGTTTTTGGGTTTTTTGGTAAAAATGCTTTTTTTCCATGTGTATTTTATTGTAACTAGCATCAGGTTTTTTAATTTTTTTAATGGAGAGACACTGTTGAGTGACTATTGTGGCTATGTTGTTTGGTTATAGCCTTTGAATGTCTGTGCCATGGGGCAGCACATCTGCCTTGGTCTGATCTTAAGGAAAGACCTTTTATTAAAGTACATGAACATTTCTCTTTTTTTTAGGAAAAATAAAAAATAAAAAAAAATTAAAAGGGGGGGGAGGAGGAGGAAAAAGCCCAATTAAGAAAAAAATATTTACTAAAAAGTTTTTTTTTTGTAACTAACTTAAATCATAGGAAATAAACTCTTGAATCAGATCTTTAATATTTATAAGCAGCAGAGCTGATCAGCCTGTTTTTGGCTATGGTTTGTAACACTTTTTATGAGCGTGGGGGTTTCTCTGCTCCTCTGCCTCCCCGGGGGCTGCTCAGGGGTGATGCTGCCTTTTGCCAACCCTCTGTTTCCAGATCAGTCCAGCAGCAGCTCCGTGATTCCAGCAGGGAATCCCTCACATGGAGCTTGTCCCCTGGGCTGTCTCCTGGCACTTGGGGGGGTCAAGGGCAAAGAGCAGTTTGCCCCCAGTTTCCCTGGGTTACAAGGAAAAATTCCAGGCCAGAGAAAATATGTTTTTCCCTTCTGAGTAAAACAGTTTCTCTGTTTTAAAACTTATACTGAAGGACCAAAGAATTCAGAATTTCACCTGTTTTGTGGCCCTTAAATTTGAACTTTCCATTGCCACACTGCACTCATGGCAGAGCAGCCTGAAGGAATTAGCACTAGACCCTTCCCTTGCCCCCACCCCATCCTCTCTCAGCACTCTCTTTGCACAAGCACATCGACTTTCTCACTTTTCTCTGGTTCTTGAAGAAACACTTCCTAAATTTAGGTTTCTATCAATTTGTTTGCTGCTTTAAAAAAAAAATAAGGAGAGGAATATTGAAATGTGAATTTATTTTCTTAAGCATCAGATGGAAAAGAGAACTACATCTTTGCATATTTTGTGAATGTTCTGGTGGGCCATTTAAAGACAATTTCTGAACCAAATGAGGTGGGAGCAGGGGGAAGGAGCAGCATTCCTGACCCACTCCAGCAGTTGTTGCTGCCTGCTCCGTGCAGGAAGGACAAACCATAATCACAGCACTGCAGTTGAGGCTTAAGAGTCTGTGATCAGCTTTTGTATGGTGTAAAAAGAGCTGAAATAAACCTGGTGCTAATAAGTGCAGCCCCTGTCACGTACTGTCAGGCTTCCTTCTGAAGCAGGAACTCCCTTTACAGGACACACAGTAACACAGCAGAGCTGAGGGGGCTTCAAAACAAAAGTGGGGTCCACAAGGTTCCTTGGGGAGCAGCCCAGCTGAACAGCCCTGACCATGTCTGGGTCCTGCTTCCCCACACAGACAGACTCCTGAGTGGATAATGACAATTTCCTCCCCAGATTTTTGGGAGCTTCAGAAGAGCTGACCTTGGTGATGAATCGGGCAGGTCGGACACTTCTGAGTTGAGAGCTGGGGGAAGGAGTTGTGGTTGTGTTGTGAAACCACAGCATCCTAAAGGTCAATAAACTTTTATATTATTATGGAAAACCAACCTAGAAGCAGCTGGCTTGGGACAACACTAGCCTGGGTAGATCCAGAGCAACAAGCAGGGTCAGAGCTGTAGGTGAGAGCCAGGAGCTGAAGGATTTTAGGATTTTGGGCTAACCAGGACCATTTTGAGCTCCTCTCTGGCCTTAGGGGCCATAGCCATGTGCCTGCAGTGGCACAGGAGGGACCCAGGAAAGGTCTCAGAGCTGGAGCACATTTCCTAAAGCAGATCCCTCCCCTGGGGGTCCCTGCAGCTGATCCCCTGCCAAAGGGTTTTACACTTTTGTACATCTCTGAAGCTGAACCTGAGCCACTGGCAAGGCTTGTGCAGCTGAGACAATGAAGAGAATTCCTTACCCTGGGAGGAAGCCTGTAACACTGAATGGACTCAGTCATCCCTTGCTGTTCCACCAGCCTCTGAACCTCCTCTCTTCCTCCTTTTCCCCTATCTGAGAAGGAAGAATATTACCAGTGTTTTCCTCCAGAGTTACTATAATCCTTGGAGTGATGGCCAACAGCAAAATAGATGTTACTGATGTAAAACCTAGTATTTTAAAGGTGAAGTATTCCTGCAAAGTAGTGACTGCATTGGAGAGATTTCTGGGGCTTCCCCACTCTGTAGCTTCCAATGTTAAAACAAAATAAATACAGTATACATTTTAAAAAAATAATAATAATACACACTGCAGTATTTCTGGTGGCAATTCTTGCCCAGTCCCTTCCCTGCTTTCCCCAGGAGGAAGGGCACTGGGCAGAGGCGCCCCTAGTCCGTGTAGAAGTTGGCAGAATGGTGATCAGTGGTGTAAAACGTGTTGTTGATTCCATGTATAGAACTGTGATTTCAGCTGTCGTTCTCTCGTACTCTGTAAATATGTGTTTTGGCTGTCGGAAACCTGGTTTAGACTCTTTTCTTGGCAGAGTGAATTTGCATGTGGGGCTGGAAAGAACTCAATCTGTGTCACAGTTTCCAAGGGCAGGATGGATTTTTTTTTTTTTTAGATGACAATAAATTTTTATTTTTTTGCTAAGAAAAAAAATACAAACCGAAGCAGTGTGTGCATGTGTGTGTGTGCGTGCCCGGGTGGATGTGCAGCCCCAGGCTCTGCTCTGGGCCTTGGGAGGGTGGAGAAATCTTTGAGGGCTTTGGAGCCCTCAGAACAACAGATCCGTGGCCAATTTTCACACAACTAAGAATAATTTCTCTCTGAGTTCCCCTCCCTTTTTGGGGTGTTGCAATTCACTTTCCTGATGGAGGTGTGGTGAAAGAGGGGGAACATCAATGCAGTGTGGTTAAGGTGGGGCAGAGACCTCTTTGGAAGTGGCAAATCCAAAAATTTCTCACCCAAATTCTTGGTCTGCACATGGATTTATGTCCTGGAGGAGCCAGGCTGGGCAGAGGTGAGCTGTGCCTGCACAGTGGATACAGTGTTGTGTGTGTTGGCACCCAAAAGAACACACCTGGCCTGTGGATCCAAGAATTATCTGTTAATTAATTTAGTCTAATTAATGCTTTAAAGATGCATCAACCACTTCCCATTAGTCCAATCACAACAATAATCTGAATGGGCCCATTTGTATTGCAGATTATTGGTAAAACAATAAAATCAGTAGATCTAAGTGCCAGCCCCTTCCCTATTGTGTTCGGGCCTGTGTTGGGTTTTTCACCAGGATTAGGAGGATGATGATGGAGACTTCTTCCTCTTCATCATTCTTGCATTTGCTGGGAGCTGGTTTTGTGTGCTTCAAGCCTTATTTTTAATGTTTGGGCTGTTTTGCTTCATGGGGTTAGTTGTGCTCTGACTGATTAAGGTTTATTAGTCTTTCTCTGTAAAAGGTGGGATTTCTTTTAGGGTGGGAGAAGACCCACACCACTGCCTGTAGCTGAGCAAAAATTCAGCTAAAACACCTTGAATAATACAGTGCAAACAACCTAGAAGAGAGGTCAGCCCAAGCTACCTGCTCCCTGGGACACACCTGGTTGGTGGCAGCCTGGGGACACAGGAATTATTTTAAAAACAGCTAAAAATGAGCTGAGCCCATATTCAAACCTTCAGCTATTAAAAAAAAAATAGCTAAAAATGAGCTGAGCCCATATTCAAGCCCCAGCCCCGTGGAGTAAACCTCGTAATAAAGCATGAGGTGGCTGCCAGCAGGTGCCAGCCCCAGCTGAGCTGCAGGGTGCAGGCACAGGGTGCTGGACCCAGCTGAATGACACCCCGAGACAGCATCCCCACAATCCCAGACCCAGCTCTGGAATATTATTTCTCTGCACTAAAAACCTAAGCCAGCAAATGGCTTCCTTGAGAGCCTGCAGTGCCTTAATCCCTCCTGCTGTGGGCTCTGTCACACAGATAGCAAAGGAGCTTTTTTCCTTTTCCCACCCCCGCATCCAGGATTTGACCTGAGCTGACCCAGAGACTGCTCTGCCCACCGAGGGAGCAGCTGGTGCTCAGGCACCCGGGAGGGGGATGCTTTTAATTCCCTGGTCCCTGGCAGCTCCCAGGGACCTGCTGCAGCTCAAACATGGCCACCCCCGTGCAGGGTAAGGGGTAGAGGGAGCTCCAGGTGTATAATTAGTACTAATTGCAGAGAAAACCAGCTCCAAAAAACCCAACAAATTGTTAAAACCACCTGCCTTGTCAGGTATTTTTACTGTGGTACTGGGTCACCCCACGTGGATGCAGCCCACTTCCAGAGGGACCCATGTCCCTGGCACAGGCTGGGAGTGATGCCAGGGACCTGCACCCCATGCCTGGGCTGTCAGCTGCCCAAAATTCCTCCTGATTTGGATGCCAGGGCTGTGATGCTCTTTATTGCTGCCCAGGCTCCAGCAAGATCCCAGGCTTCCAGGAAGTCAGTGAAATTGGTGGTAAAATTAAAAAAAAAAACAAACACCCAAACAGACAAAAGAGCTAGACATTTTAAAAAATGAGAAATTCAGCAGCTCCCACCAGACCTCAAGTGCCTTGTCCCACCCCACTGTGCTGCTGCTGCCAGCACAGGGCCACTGCCCCAAAGCACACAGCCCACGCATCAGCTTTGTGGCTTTTCATTTAAAATAAGAGGCTTATCCACAAGAAAATGAGGGGGGAAAGAAATTAAACATTTTAAAGAAAAATGAAGGCAGGTTTGGCCATGCCATGTTGCAGACAGGAGGGCTGGGGACACGGCCAGGAGATGCAGCACTGGCAGTGACAAACTCCAGAGGGACGGACAGGGACAGCCACGCTTCCACATCCCTCGTGTAGTGTTACTAGTCCAGGCAGGCAGAGAAATCCCCTCCAGTCCACCTGCCCACCCTCCCTGGCGCATGGGGGTGTTGCTGCCCGAAGGTGGGGGTGAACTGGGTGCTGGGTGCTGGCACAGGGACCCCTCTGTCCCCACACTCCCTGCAGATGGTTCTGGCTCCAACACCACCAAGGTTCCCCTTTCAGGGCCATCCATCTTCCTGCCCCTCCCTCACTCTGTCTCCTTGGACTGCTTGGCTCGTTGCTTGCGGAGCTTAACGAAGGCCTGAGCTTCTTTGTCCCTTTTCCTGGACTCCAGCAGCTGCAGGATCTCATCTGCCAGAGAAGGGGGGAGTGATGGAGGGAGATGCTCCCCACAGCCCCCTCCCCACCCTGCAGGGCTCAGCCCGGGGGGGACACACCGTACCCGCGGGCTTGGGGTGCGTGAGGGGGAGCCGCGTCTGCGGCACCCGGCCCATGTCGGCCTCGTCCTCCTCGCTGTCGAGGCCGGGCAGGTGGCACAGGGGCAAGAAGGCTTCGCCCTCCAGGTCATTGGAGCCCAGCACGTCGTAGTCAAACACGGTCAGCAGCAGACAGGCCCCCTCCTGCCGGCACTTCTCGGAGGGGATCAAGCTGCGGGGGCACAGCAGGCAGGGGATCCTCACATCCACCCCCTCAGGCCTCGGCACAGCCTTCTGTGCTCCATGGGCGGCCACAGCCCCGCGGCGACCCCAACCCCTCCAAGCTCAGGGCCCCAGCAGAACCCCACAGTGACCCGAACCCCTCCAAGCTCAGGGCCCCAGCACAGCCCCACACCCTCACAGCTGTTTGGGGGACCCCACTGTGGTGAAATCTCCGGACACGGCAGTCCTGAGGGGCTGTGGGGACGGGGGGCCCAGAGGGTGTCAGCCCCACACCCTCAGGTGTTTGGGGGACACCACTGTGGTGAAACCCCTGGACTCAACAGTCCCAGGAGCAGCAGCCCCATGGCAGAGGCTCCTCAGCCTGAGGGGCTGTGGGGCCCGGAGGGTGTCAGCTCCATGCCCTCAGGTGTTTGGGGGACCCCACTATGGTGAAATCCCCGGATACGGCAGTGCCAGGAGCAGCAGCCCCATGGCAGAGGCTCCTCAGCCTGAAGGGCTGTGGGGACGGGGGGCACGGAGGGTGTCAGCCCCTACGTACAAGTCGAAGGCTTCGTCGAAGAGGGGGTGCAGCTCGTTCCTCTTGCACTGGGTGGTCCGAGCCACCACCTCGGGGAACTCGTGCCGGGGCTCCAGGGTGAGCTGCACGAAGGGGTCGCTGGAGCCTGGTGGGGTGCAGACATCAGCCGCCTCCCCTGGCCCCTCTGCCCCGGCATGAACCCCGCCGGGGGGGCTTGGGCACACTGGGGTGGCTGCGGGGGGCTCAGGGCAGCCTCACCGCAACCCCCAGCCCGGCCCGGGCTCCTGGAGGGTGCGGGAACATCCCTAAGCCTGCCCGCACAGCGACCGGCCGGGGGTGGCTGCAGGAGCAGTGACCTCTCCTGGAGAGCGCCCCAAACGACAGCCGGACCCGGAGAAGGTCGCTGCTCACCCCGCGTATTTTTTTTATCTGTGATTGCTTTGCATGATGAAGAAAAGCTGTCTGCCCTGGCTGCTGGCTTGTGCCACAAGCAGCGGGACGTGGGCACTGTGTCCTGCTTGGTCCCACCTGCCACATCCCACTGAACCACCCAGAACCAGGGCCACAACCCCCTCTTTCCCCAAATCCACCTCCTTGGATAAAAAAGCAAATCAAGGGAGAGCCCAAGCATTGCCAGCATCTCTGCTGACTGGGGCATACCAGGGACCAAGGGCAGGGGGCCCTGGGGCAGTGGGTCTCCTGCCCCCCCCACGCACCGTTGGAGTCCAGCGGGATGAGGTTGGTGGCGTTGAGCACTTCCACACGGAGTTTCTGCTCCGAAGGCCGGTACAGAGCTTTGATGGTCACGGCCCCGTACTTCTCTGAGCTCATGTCCAGCTGGGCAGTGGGGTACAAGGGTAAGGATGCTGTCCTTCATCCCCATCATGAAGAGGATGCACAGGGTCGGGCAGAGGCTCATCAGGAATTTTGGGGCACCAGGGTGTGCTGGAATCCTCTGGGATGCGTTGAGCCCCCTCCTGCTCAACGCTGTGGCAAAACCTGCCCCAACAGCCCCAGGACTGGGAGGGTGGTGGGGAAATTCCACATTTCCACAGGCAGGGCCTGTGAGCAAGGGTGGGATGTGGGAAGGGGCTGGGAGCACTATCCAGAGCCCTACCTGCTGCTGGATCCTGTTGCTGAAGTATTTCTGGATGAGTTTGCGGCTGCTGGCAGAACAGAGAGCCAGGTGAGCCTCCAGCGTCTGTGGGGAGGGGGAGAAGTGATGGTCAAGCACCTGGACAGGTCCACAGCCCGGGGATGTCCTGCCTGGCATCCCTTCCTCCCACAGGAACCCACGGGGACCCCCCATCCCCATCTCCATACCTGGAAGGCTGCACTGTGGAGGGTCTCCAGCGGCAGCCCGCAGCCCTCGGCGTGGAAGCACAGCTCCAGGCTCTGGGGACAAGCTGTCAGCCACCATCCAAACCCCTCTCCTTGCCAGCCACCCCCTGCTTCCCCTTGGTACCTTCAGGGCACAGAACAGCCTCTGGCAGTGCTGGACCGAGGGCACCTGCGGCCCCAGTGCTGCTGAGAGCACGGACAGGGTGTGGTGCCACAGGAGACTGAGGAGGCTGCAGGGGAGAGGGAGGCTGTGAGCAGGATCCAGGGGCAGGGCTGGAGGGATGGTCTTCAGATGAAGGGCTCTGCAAAGCCCGAGAAGGAAGTGCCTCATCCTGCCAGCCTTGAAGTGGGATGGCCCCAAGCCCCATGGAGCTGAGGAGATGCCCAAGGAATGGTGAACCTGGTGGCCTCTGCCACAGTGCATCCCAAGTGCCCTGGTCACCTTTTGAAGTTCTCCTGGACCAGATGCTCATTGAGGTACTGCAGCTCCGACTCCAGGAACTTCATGAGTGGGATGATGGACTGCAGGGAGAGAAGAGGGCATTGGGGAGGGCAGGGGGGTATTCAGCAGGGCACAGCAGGCCAGGGAGGATCCCAGAGAGGCTCCTTCCCACATGGGCAGGCTGTGCCTGGTGTGGTCCTGATGCTGACATGGGCATCATGTGGAGGTCTGGACCCCATCACTGGTGTGTCCTGTGCTCCAGGCATGGGCAGGGAGCACTGATGGAGGATGATAGAGGCTGCCCAAAAGATGGTCCAGGAGGGGCTGGACCAGATACTTACATCCTCAGGCTTCTGGGTGTCACTGGAAGATGAGAGCTCCTGGATGTGTCTGGCAATGCCCTTTTCCAGCTGTCAGGGAGAAACACAAGAAGAGACTTGGACTTTGCCCTCTGCACCAGCCTCCCCATGCCCAGCTGCACCTTTTCTCCATCCCAGGAGCATTATGGGCTTCAGGACACCTTGGGTGAAACTGCTGTGGGCCAGGTGAGGGCCAAGGGGGCATCAGTGGCAGGTGGTCACCTTGGTAGCCAGGGCTTTCACCACGTCGCGGACCTCGTGGTCCAGGCAGGCCACGGTGCTGTCGAGCTGGTTGTGCAGAGCGTTCTGGATCTGCTGGGGGTCGATGATGCCCCTCATGCGCTGCTCCAGCTGGGCCCAGCCCAGCTGTGATGGCAGCTTCAGCATCAGCAGCCGGAGCTGCTCGATGTTGTTCACCACGATGCAGAGCTGGGGGAGGTGGGTCTGCTTCAGGGTCCACACCCCCTGCAGCATCCCCATCCCCATCCTCAAGGCAATAATTATTCCCATTTCCATCTCCATCCTCATCCCTAGTCCCGTCTCCATCACCATCGTCAGTCTCATTTTCATCCTCACCTTTGTCCCCACCCCATCCTGCTCCCCCTGGTCACATCATTTCCCTCCTGATTTTCCAGGATTATGGCTTTTGATGGCCAACTGGTCCCTGTGGAACCCAAACTGGGGATGTCAGCTGGGTTCTCAGCAGCTCAGCTCCCTCTTTGTCTAGAAGCCAGGGCCAAATCCTGCCCTTCCTGGAGCAACCAGGACAGGTTCCAATACCAACCTTGTTGGCCGCCTCGCCCTCGTTCTGCTCGCTCAGGGACAGAGCCTCAGCCCTCTCCTTGATGAGCTTGCAGTACATCAGGGAGATCTTGCACATGTCCTGCAGGACAGAGAGGAAACCAGCAGGACTGAACCAGGCAGCACGAGGACCACCGTGGACTCAGGGAACCCCATCATTGGGGTACTGGCTCCTTCATGGAGACACATCCCCAGGAGCAGGAGGAGGAAACTCCAGGTGCTGGTGCCCAGCTGTACAAACCTCCAGGAGATTGACCATGATCATGAAGGCCTTCTCAGGGTCTGGCCAGTTGAGCTGCTGCCAGGTTGTCATGATCTGGGCGTAGCAGGTGGACAGGTCAACGGTGGATGTGCTGTGCTTGTGGTACCCATAAGGCTTCAGCTGAGAGGCAGAGAGGGCAAACACAGCTTGAACAGAGATGCCATCCCAGAGAGCAGAACTGCTCCTCACTTTGGGGCTCTCTGGCCCATCATCAGCTCCTTATATCCCAATGTCATCACACAACCACTTTGGAGAGTGGAGATGAGGATGGATGGAGCAGCACGAGCTCCCTGCTTCCCTCCATACACCCACCCCATGCTGCTGGACCCCACTAAGAGCAGCCCGTGGCCCCATGGTTGCCTTCCCTCCCCTCTTCAGAGAGGTTAGAAGCAAAGGGGATCCTCACAGCATGGCCTGAATGCAGAGTCCTCAGATCACATGGGCTACCAGGGAGCAACGAGGGAAGGGTCACAGGGACATTGTGTGGGGCCAGGGTGGGGGGGATCAGCTGGCCCAGGGGACCACATACTTTGTTATGCATTTGGCAGAGGAACCAGACTGCTCCTGGGCTGCCCAGCAGCAGGGCATGGAGGGCAGCTGCAGTGTCCCAAAGGAAGGAGGGAGATTTCTCCTCCCCACGTTACCTGGTCCATCTGGATGGCTCTCTGGGCCCTCTCCAGCGTGGTGGTGTAGGCCTTCTGCAGCCACAGGGGCAATGCTTCCTCAAACCACTGGTGGAAGTTGCTCAGAGCCAGAGGTCCATCCCTATGGAGGAAGGCTCTGGTTCTCCAAATGCACAGCAGCGGCACGGGACCATCTCCCCTCCTGCTCTCACACCAACCCAGCCAGAGATCAGCCCAAAACCCTCTGGTGATGCTCCCACTGACACCAGACACCAACAGCCTGCTCTGACTGGTGTGCAAGTAGTGATGAAGGATCTGGAGATCCTCTCAGTTGCCTGCTGAATCCCTCCCTCTGGCACCTCTTCCCTCTCAGGGCTGGATACCTGCTTGGGAGGGAGTCCTTCATCTGATAGAGCTCCTGCAGTTTCCTGTAGAGATCAAAGAGGCTCTCGGCCGTGGGTCTGGACATGCTGCTGTCAACCTGGTGCAGCTGCTCCTGGACATGCTCTGCCACCTGGATGGGAGCAAGGCCAGGGGGACACAGTGAGGTCTGGCCAAGAAGGCTCCTTCTGGGGTGAGGATCAGCTCAGGGGACTCCTCTTCCTTTTGGGTGGCGTCTCAGGAGATTTGTTGGGTCAAATAGTGCCCATAGTCACTTCTGAGCACACAGGAATAGAGGGGGTTTCTCTTGCTCCCCTTCCAAGCTTGCAACAAGCAGTTGGCACCTGAAAGGTGGCCAAAAACCTCAGCCTGGCTTTAGACATTAGTTCCCCAAGGGCAGAGCAGCCCAGGCTTGCTCACCAGGCTCTCCAGCTCCAGGTAGGCAATGGAGAAGATATTCAACTTCAGGTTGCTGCAAGAGAGAACCATGGAGTCAGGAGCCTGCCAGCCCCAGCCCAGCAAAGCCAGGCCAGCAAACCCTGCCAGGCCATGTCCTGGGTGAGGACAGCACAGCCCCAAGGGGCAGAGGTGGGACAAAGACCCCAGCTGTGGAGCCCAAGGGCCAAGGAATGAGGCATCAAAGTGCCCTGTCACTCTTGATCCCAGGGAAGGTGGATGGGGGTGAGGCCAAGCACTGAAACGTACGTGCTGAACAATTTATTCCAGATCTTTTGGCACTGCTTGAGATCTTCTATCACCTCCAGGAGGAGCTTGGACAAGGCTTTGCTATTCTCCTCTATGCTCTGCAAAGGAATGAACAGCTTATTTTGGATGCTCAGACATTCTGAGGCGACTTTGTCATGTCGGAGGGACAGAGATGGGAACTGACCTTCACCATGGGCTTGAGGTGCTGCTTCTGCATGTGGAACCACTCCGTGGTGCCTGACTGCAAGAGAGGAGTCCTGGTGGGATGGCAGGGAAGCAGGAGGAGCAAAGCCAGCTCTGTCACCCCCTTCACTCTCCCTGTCCCCTGGGTGAGGGGAGAACCTGTGGTGGGAACCACAGGCTGGGGCCACAGGTTGAAGGGGTGGGTATTTCCCTTGCCATGGTGATCCATGTGGATTTGCTGAGCTGTGGGCATTGGGCAGGGGGTGGAAGGAAAAGGACACCCACAGGGTCCCACCCTGCAGGGGTTGAGGGTGGGGGGTGAGACCCCCAGTACCTTCAGAGCTGTGGAGACCATGTGGGGGAGGTCAGGGCTGGGTGTGCACAGCTCACGGAAAGCTTTGGTTTTGCACATCTGGACGAGGACCCTGCAAAGTGAGAACCTGGAGTGAAACCCAGCACCTGCCATCAGAAACAAGCACCTCTCCCCTCAGAGACCCTGCCCAAACAGCCTTCCCCTGCCAGCAACATTCCCACAGGGAGCCCAGCATGAGGGATGGGACAGGACAAGTGTCACAGCAGCCTAGACGGGGCAGAAAGGGCTCACACTGAGTTTTGCTGGTGCTCAGGGACTTGTCCTGAGCCACAGGACCCACATGCAGCTGGCACCAGTGACCAACTCACCGGAGCAGGGACTGGAGCCTCTCTGTGGACCTCGGGACAGAGAGGGGGAAAATGATGCGGAACCTACGGATGAGGGAGACCCCGTAGGTCAGCAGGGACTGGAAGGACTCGGCCAGCTCTGCTTTCTGGGGAGAAGAAAGGAAACATGCATCGTCCTCCTCAGTGACAGGCAGATGCTGGCAGAACCACGGCACTGCAGGGGAGGGAGCTCTGCTCCCATTCCTTTCCAGACTGCTCCAGGGATGGGAAAAAGCCGTGGTGTGTCTGGTAGCTTCTCCCTGGAGGGACTGAACTGAGCTTTGTGCCTAAACCTCATTGCTATGCATGGAAAATTCAGTGTCTCAGCAGGGTGCAGGGACGCTCTGGGAAAACAGGCTGGGAGAAGCAGAAATTGGGTCATATTTAAGTTTTGCAGGAGGTTGTGATTGATGGCAGGGATGGGGGAGGGGGATGTCCGTGCAAAGGGTAAGGGGCTCTCCACAGAGAGGGGGAACAAACCCCTGGGAAATGCCCTCCAGACACCCTGGCACCCCTGTACCCCACAATCTCCTGCCCTTCCTGGACACAGGGACTGAAACAGCCCCAGGGGCTCTGGCAGGAGAGGCTCAGGGTTGGGTGCCTGGGGCACCTCTCCCTGATCTCTGCCCTCACCTGCTCTGGCCTCAGGCGCTCCTGCACCCACCGGTACTCGATGCTGGTGATCTGGTGGAGGAGGCAGCTGCTGTTGAACTCCAGGCTCTGGTACAGTTTGCTGTAGGCCAGCCACTGCCTGGGGAGGAGGGAGGGCTGGGCTGAGCCCCCGGGGGCTGGAGGGCACCCAGGAGGCAGCCACAGTCACAGCTGGGATCACAGGGGGCACCCAGGTGTCCTGGGAGCAACACCTGAGCTCATGGGACAGACCAGCTGTGGTCAGAGGGTCCCAGCAAGGCCTCAGGTGCTGCACTGGGTGTGGGGTACTCACGCCATGTCCTGGTGGAAGTCAGAGAGGTCCTTCTGTGTGGCATGCAGGTACAGCACAGTGCTGGCGTGGCTGCTCAGCTCCCCATCCCAGGAGGTGCTGCCGGCCTGCCAGGAGGGAAAGGGGGAGGAATGTGTCCTGGAGCAAGACAGGATGAGGAGGAGGAGGAGGACAGGTACCATGGGGGGGCTGTATTTGCAGGAGTGGGAGCCCAGAGAGATGCCAGCCATCATCCTGACCCTCATTCCCATCACACAGTGTGTTGGGATGTGCTGCTGGAAGCCTCCCCAGCCCAGCTGCTGGAGGGCTGCTTCTGGTGCTGGTAGCAGCCCTGGTGGTACCTGGTGCTGGAGGATCTCGTGGGACACCAGCTGCTGCAGCAGGTGGCGGTGGACGGTGTAGCTGGGCTGTGTCCTGCTGCTCGTGGTGGCCCTCTGCAAAGAGACAAGGTAGAGAGGAACATCACCTGCCTGGACACACAGGGACACTGCCACAGTGGGGACACAGGACCCAAAAGGCAGGGCTGGAGAGCTCTGGGTGCTCCAGGAGCAGGATCCCTCAGGCACCGAGTTTTCTCCCATTCATGTCCCATAAGATGTTCCCATAATGACAGAGCTCAGGGCAGGGTCCTGCACCTGCAGACCCTGGTGCTGGCACCTTTGCCCCTGGGGCTGGCACCTGTGGCCCCCAGACAAGTCCCAAGGGACAGGCAGCTGTCCCATCCTGGCAAGGCAATAGAAAGGACCTTTCCACACTCCATCCCACCTTCTTGTGCGTCAGGAGGAACTGCAGGTGACAGTGGCCCCGCTCGGGATAGGTCTCTGTCCGTGGCTCCAGCTGGTACCACTGGTCATTCCAGCAGTGCAGGTCCTGCAGGCACAGAGGAACAAGGGTAAACCCTGGGCAGCTTCCCAGGAGAAGGATCTCATTCAGAGATCAGGGGATCTTCATCCCACTGCCTTCATGGGGCAAGAAGGTTCTGTATTAGATTAAAATCACAGGATGTGCAGTGACTGAGTGTGCTGGAACGACTGCGGCACAGGGAGGGACCTGCCATCAGCTTGTGGCTCTGAGACGGGATCCTGGGTGTGCCACAGGGTGCTGCCACGGGGCTGGGATCCCGCCCGGATCCCGGGAGGATTCACTGGGGAGAGTCCTGGGGAGTCCCTCGGAGGAGGGAGCACGGCGGCGCTCACCTTCAGGCGAACCACCACGTTCCCCAGGAAATCGTCCTGCCCCTTGTCTTTGCGAGCGTCCTTAAAGATCCTGAAAGGCACAAACAGCCAGCAAATAAGCATTTTCCACCCCCTGTTTCCTCAGCAGCCTCGGGGCCACACCAGCACCAACCTTTTGAGGCCGTGGAGGTCGGTCAGCTCGCCCAGCTTGTGCCGCATCGACTCCACCACGTCCGAGTCCCTGCGAGGGCCGGGGGCAAAACCCATGGCGGGGAGAGGGGGAAATCCAGGGGATGGAAAAACACAGCAGGGAATTGCAGTGACGGTGGAGAAGAGAAAGCACCCGAGCAGGGAAGTGTCAGGGTTGAGGCCACCCCCAAACCCAGCCCAAATCTGGGCTTCTCTCCATAAATTAAACCAGGGCTCAGGACCAGCCCTGCCTGGGCACAGCCAGCCTGGGCTTTCCCTGCTGGCACCCTGCACTGAGAACTGCTCCATGGAAAGTGAAGGGAAAGGGGCTCCCAGTTGGCTTCAAGGCCTTTAAAAAAGCTGCAGATTGAATCTCAGGAGGCAGCACCCCTCGGGCAGGGTCCTGGGCTCACTGGGATGCTGTCACTCACCACATGTCCAGGTGGAAGCTGGCTGTCTCCACATCTTTAAACTCCCTGCAAGGCACCAGGGGACGTTGTTACTCGAATAAGACAGGAGTGAACCCCCATCCCCAGCCAGGAGCCCTGGCCATGCCCTGCATCCCCCCAGAGAGCAGAGCCAAGGGCTGGGGGTGGATTACAGGATGAAGGTCTCGTTCCACACTGGGCTGAGGGTCTGGTTTATGACTTGGGTGCGATGGATTTGGTCTTCGGGGATGAGGTCTTTGACCACAGCCTTCATCCTCTTCCTGGGGTCGGGGTGGGCTGGCTCCTGGCTCCTGGCCTCGATGCCCAGCAGGCAGTAAGGGTCACTGAGCCCTGCAAGGGCAGAGCTCTGGGAATTCCCCTCGGGAGCAGCAGCTGCCCCTCTCCCCATGGGACACCCACCCCTCCACTTACCACTGACATCTTTACCCAAAATTCCCTTGGCTTCCTTCACCGTGGCTTTCAGGCAGTAAATGGGGCTCTGGAAAAATGAATAAACAGCTATTAATGTGAGGGGTCACTAACACTGTGGGGAAGGATCAACGCTGGGTCATATTTAAGTTTGGCAGGGGGTTGTGACTGACCTGATGGCAGGGATGGGAGAGGGGGATGTCAGTGCAAAGGGTAAGGGGCTCTCCACAGAGAGGGGGAACAAACCCCTGGGAAATGCCCTCCAGACACCCTGGCACCCCTGTACCCACAATCTCCTGCCTCTCATGGGACACAGGGACTGAAACAACCCCAGGGGTTTTCTCCAGCTCCACTTTGGGGCTGGAGCAGGACCTTGCCATCAGCTCCCACCCAAGCACTGACAACCCCAGGGCACCCCAAATCCCAACCACAGGGGCTCGGGGGCACTGCAGCCCCCCAGCACCACCCCAGCTGCACACTGGGGACACTGTACCTCCAGCTCCATGACCTGCTGCATGATGACACCGTGCTCCTCCGCGTTCATGCCAAAAGCCTGCGTGGATATTGGGAATGGTGATGGATGCTGCCCTGCTAACAGGGGCTGGAGAGCAGCCAGGGGCTTCCCTCTGCTCCCTGGGAGCCAGCAGCAGCCCAGGGGGAGAGGAGTGTGGCAGAGTCCAGCAGGAAGGCTGGAATCAGCTGAAAGCTCTTGAGGGAGAGCCTTCTTCCCACCATCCTCAGCCTAAGATAAACACTTCTCCCCAGGGCTAATATTTCCCAGCCACAGGATGCTCCCAGCCCTCCAGCTGGATGCTGCTGCTACATCTTTCATGGTGTTTGTTAAAAGCTCCCTGTGAGTGACCCTCATGATTATTGGCTCCAAACAATCAGAGAGAAATTGTGTGTGGTGGGGGTCAGGACTAGTTCTGCACAGGTGGGATGGGGCACTTCCACATCCTGGCCCCTCGAGCCTCTGGTCCAGCCCAAGCCCCTGGCACATGGAAAGCCCAACCTTATTCAACATTAATATTCTCAAGTTTGCAAGTAAAAGTTTGTTATTCAGCCTCCTGAGAATTTTGTGGTCTCCTGTGAACCCCAGAGTAAATCAAAACCCCTCTAGAAACTCACTGAGCGAGCCTGGGACATAAGAGACCCCTACCATCCCCTGTAGCTGGGAGGACGGACATGTCAGGGGACAGGTTTTGGGGACCCTGTCAGGAAGGGGATGCACCTTCTGCACGTAGGAGTAGAGCTCCTGGGAGTCCTTGACATGCTGCTGCTCGGGCTTGCCCAGGCGGTGCCGGATGGTGTAGAGAACCTCCTCGTAGAGCAGGGCCAGCTGTGGGGGACAGTGCTGACACCTCGTGTGGGGACAGGGATGTGCTCCAGGCATCCCCCAGGACCAGCAGGATTTCCTCCTCACAGCTCCCCAAGCTCCGTGCCAGGCCCTGCCACCCCCTGCATCCAGCCCTGCACTGGCTGTCCCTGGGGAGCTGAGCCACGTCCCCAAGCCCCTGCAGCACTGCCACCCCCTCCAGTGCCACCAAGGGAGACCACAGTGGGGTACCTCTTCCTTGGAGAACCGGTGGGACAGATCCATCTGGGGAGAGAAGAGAAGCAGAGAGGTTTCCCATCAAGAGCATGGTTTGAACAGGAAGTTGTGGCTGGACAGGGCAGGGCAGCCAGGATGGGGTGGCATCACCCACAGCACGTGAGGGTGGGATGTCCCAAAGGATGCTGTGACACCCCATGGCCAAGGGACAATGTCCCCCATCACCCACCAGCAGGGCAGCACGGGGGGCTTCACCCCCAAGTCCCATGAATTGAGGAGGGGGCTGCGAGGGTGGAAACAGCAGCTTGGGGTGACCCCCAGGAGGGTTTAAAAGCCACCCACCCCTCACCCCCCAGAGCCACCCACTCCAGCAGCACCAGGCTGGAGAGAAGAGCAGCTGAGGGACAGGGCAGGGGGCCAGAGCACGGTGAGGAGCTCCAGGCTGGGCAGGGAGATGCCAAAAACCACCAGGATTTGGTGCACTGCTACAAATCTCTGAAAGCTGCAAGGGAGCACTGCTCAGCCCCACAGGAATTACTTCACATACAAAAAGTCTTACCCCCCAGAGCCACCCACTCCAGCAGCACCAGGCTGGAGAGAAGAGCAGCTGAGGGACAGGGCAGGGGGCCAGAGCACGGTGAGGAGCTCCAGGCTGGGCAGGGAGATGCCAAAAACCACCAGGATTTGGTGCACTGCTACAATCTCTGAAAGATGCCAGGGAGCACTGCTCACTTGAAGGATGCCCAGGACAGCACTGACTTTCCAAACAGGAATTAAATCCAAGTGGTGACACTGCCAGAGGAAGGGGACCGGTGTCCCTGTGCCATCTGTCACGGGTCCTGGCACTGGAGCCTCTGGGAGCACAAGGGGGTGACACCAAAAAATGCAGCAGAAGTCTTTAAAATGAGTTTGGGATTTTCTTGGCTGAGGGCAATTTGCAGAGCATGGTCCCAGCACCTGCTCATGCAGGGCAGGGGGTGGATGGATGGATGGATGGATGGATGGATGGATGGATGGATGGATGGACGGACAAATCCTACCGGACAAATCCTACCTGTGGGTCAGCTCAGGCCCCAAAGTGACCTTAGGAACCCCTAACAGAAAAAAATAAACCAACCCTGAGCTTTAACATTTGCTTATGGCAAATCTAGGGCTGGCATAATCCCCTGGCCATCTGGACTGAATTCAACCCTTCCAGCCCCAGCAAGTTTAACCCTTGAGCTGCTTCTCTCCCACCTGCCTCCACATCCCTTCTTGTACCCACTGGGGGCTGCTGGGGGCTCTGGTGGCTCAGTAGCCCCTGTGAAAGGGGTCCTGTTGCACTCAGAGGTCCCAGCCTGCCCCTGACAATGTTCCATGCACCTTCTGCTGCTGCTGGCACTGTCCTGCCTGTGCCAAGGCACGGGGGCATGGCCCCATCCCAAACCTTTCAGCATCCCCACAGCTGCCCCATTGCAAGGTCACAAGCACACAGGGGACAGAAAAAGGACTTTATTTCTCTGCTGCTGTTACTTATCAGCAAGATGCAAGCATCTGTTCCTCGCCCAGCAGTGGGGTGGCCCAGGAGGGAGGGGGAGGAATCCCTGCTGGTTTTGGGGGCAGCTCCCTGCTGTTCACTCTGCCCAGACACGGCTGCAGGATCTGCTTCCCTGCTCCCACGTGCACCCAGGACTGGTTAAGCTTAAGCTGAGCTGAGCCACCAGGACATGTTTACTGCTGCTAATCCTCAAGCCAAGAGCCCAGCTCAAATCCAGTAGTGTTGTTTAATCCAGGCCTGGATCCAGCTGCAGCAGTGGGGAGGCAGCAGGGACAGGGGTGCTCAGGAGGGGGAACAAGCCCCTGAGAGGGGGACACTCCCAGGACAGACCATCCCCAGAGCTCAGCGTGGGACATTGTGCCCTCGTGCCCCCAGCAGCACCGGGCAGAGCTGTGGCTCCCATCTCACCAGGACAGACACACAGACAGGGACCCAGAGGGACGCAGAGGGACCCAGAGGGACGCAGAGGGACCCAGAGGGAGTCAGTCATTTTGGGATGGCCTGGAGCAGGGCTTTGGGGTGGTTGTGGCAGCACAGAGCCCGGAGGGGCTCAGAGGGACCCTCAGTGGGGGCACACAGCTGAGCTGACCCCGTATGGACCCTGGGGTGCCCACTTACCCGGGTGGGTACCCCCCTGTGTCAGTCACAGCCGGGTCTTGGTCCCTTTCCCCCCATTCCCTTTCCAGCCTCAGTGCCCAGCGGGTCCCTGGGCACAGCCACCATCACCTGCCTGCTGCCACCACTGCCACCATCCTTCAAACACCTCCCCAGCCCCCTGAGCTCAAACCCACCTACCTCGGGGCTCTCCTCCCCGGGGAGGGTCCCCGGGGGGCTCTGGCCAGCAGGATCCATCTCGGGGGAGGCAGAGCGTGGGGCAGGGCTGGGCTCTGCCTGCAGCTGCAGCCTCCTCAGAGGAGGAAACCACAGCCCTTATCGGAGCGTGGCCATGTTAAAACAGCGGAAACGCGCGGGGGCTCCTTGCAGAGCGCCCCGGAACGCGAGGGACGCAGAGGGACCCCCTGAGCCCCGGCTCTGCTCCCCTGAGCCCCAGCTCTGCTGCCCTGAGCCCCGGCCCTGCACCCCTGAACCCCGGCCCTGCACCCCTGAACCCTGGCTCTGCACCCCTGAACCCCAGCCCTGCTCCCCTGAACCCCAGCCCTGCTGCCCTGAGCCCCAGCCCTTCTCCTCTGCACCCCTCGCCCTGCTCTCCTGAATCCTGGCCCTGTTTCCCTGCACACCAGCCCCCCGGGGGGCTCTGGCCAGCAGGATCCATCTCGGGGGAGGCAGAGCGTGGGGCAGGGCTGGGCTCTGCCTGCAGCTGCAGCCTCCTCAGAGGAGGAAACCACAGCCCTTATCGGAGCGTGGCCATGTTAAAACAGCGGAAACGCGCGGGGGCTCCTTGCAGAGCGCCCCGGAACGCAGGCGCCCAGGCCTGCACCCCTGAGCCCCGGCTCTGCTCCCCTGAGCCCCAGCTCTGCTGCCCTGAGCCCCGGCCCTTCTCCTCTGCACCCCTCGCCCTGCTCTCCTGAATCCTGGCCCTGTTTCCCTGCACACCAGCCCTGCAACCCCAGCCTTGCTCCCCTGAACCCTGGCCCTGCTCCCCTGCACCCCAGCCCTACTCTCCTGCACACCAGACCTGCTCCCCTGCTCCTCTGAACCCCAACCCTGCTCCCCTGAACCCCGGCCCTGCTCCCCTGCACCCTGGCCCTGTTCCCTGCACCCCGGCCCTGCTCCCCAGAACCCCAGCCCTGAACCCCAGCCCTGCTCCCCTGAACCCCAGCCCTGGGGACTGTGTGGCTCACACGGCATGGGGGCGAAAGGAAGGTGCCTGCTACCACTTATGAGCAAGGAATTGGGAGCAAGTGGAGAGAAATAGTCCTGAGAAGGCAAAGCCCAGCAGGGGAAGGGGACGATGGAGAGGATTAGTGAAGGCAGCACGAAGGGTCTGGGCTCTGATGTGGTTTTGGGATCCTTCGTGCTCTGAGAGCAGAGGCAGGGACCTTGCAGAAAGCAGGGGGTGTTTTCAGCCCCGGGGGATGGGGGGATCTGAAACCCCATGCAAAAGCTGCAGGATGAGTCCTTGCAACACCCAGGAGAGTTGCACAAGGTTGGGCTGAGAACAGACAGAGCAAAGAGCCAAGAGCAGCACTCAGAAAGGGCCTGTGACCTTTTCCCAAACGGGCTGTTCAGAAGGAGCTGGTTACTGAGAAAAAAGCAGAAAGAAATGATGTGGAAAGCTTGTTCTTTACCATCAGCTTTCATTCTTGTAAATGCTTTATCAGATTGCAGCTTGCCAGGCAGTTGCCCTCCTCTCGAAGATCCCTATCAGGATGCTCTCACTGACAACAAACTGGGTGGGGGAAGGCTTGGCTGGGCACCAGGAGATGGCCGGGGCAGAGCCAGTTTGCTCCTGGGGGTGTGTTGTGTCTACAGGCACAGCTCCCGGGCTTTGGAGGAGCTGTTGAGCTGCACAAGAATTTGCTGCTCAGCGGCCAGACCCTCAGCCCCGGGAAGAAGAAGGACACCAGCCCATGCTCAGTGTCACTGCTGGGGTTTGGTGTCACTGCGGAGGAGCCACAGGCCCTGTGCAGCAGGGCAGTGACTGGCCAAGGGGAGGTTTTGTCTTCCCCACACCTTTCCGGCCCCTGGATGGCCCAAAAGCCATGAAAAAGCTGTTTCAGATGGCAGTGGCTCCACACTGGGATCAGTGGTACTGTGCAGGCACTCAGGGATTTGTGCTGAACCCAAACAGAAAACCACGACCATGGAAACTGCACTGGAAAGTTTGTCTCAATAGCAGAGAAGGAATCAGAGTGCATCAGCACAGAGCCCCACAGCACGCTGGCTCCAAGCAGGGCTGCAGGAGGAGGCTGGCAGCAGCATCCCTGCCAGAGGATGAGGGCAGGCAGCCAGTCCCTTCCAGCCTTGCACTCATCCACTCCTTTCATTGAGGCAGGTTGCACTCTTTTAATTGCTTTAAGAGGGACACAACCTCCCTTTGCCCTGGAACCCTGTAAGAGCAGGTTAATGGCAAAAGGGGTTCCCTGAAGCTGTGGGACCAGGAGATGGAGAAAGGGCTGAGAGCAGAGGCAGGGGGTTGATGTGGGGGGCGGATTTTCTTTATCCAGGTCAGCCAGCACAGGATGGGGCCAAGAGGGGCTGCACAGCACATAAAACCACTGAATTTCCAGGAGCAGAGGGATGCCAAGACAATCTACAGAATAAAAATCCAGAGATACAGTGAGACACCCAAAAGCTGAAATGCACTCCTGAGATTTTTCAGCCTTGTGTCCTGAGGTCTGAAAAAAGCTGCCTGTTACACTCCTGCTCTCTCCCCTGTCAGGAGGGCTCTGGTAACTGTCCCCAGAAATTGGGTGCCCCAAGGAACTGGGTTCAGAATCCCTTCTTGTGCACTCCCCAGTCTGGCACTGGAGCCACCTCCTCACCCCACACCTGCTGAGGATGCCCTTCCCTTTGCTGTCAGAGATGCTCAGAGGTGCTCACCCAGCCCTGCCAGCCTCAGCCTTGGCTTTATCCAGCCTTTTCCATTGGCTCACCTTGGGCAAAGCTTTAAAGCATCTCCTCCCTCGCTGATGGGGGGGGATGTGGTGGAGAAGCCAATTCCTGTCCCGTGACACCACAAATGCAGTTTATTGATCTGGGACATCAGCTCTGTGCACCCTTGCAAAATATTGTTAGTAGGAACTAGAGAAAAGTGCATGATGGCCTTTGGAAACCGTTGCTGTCATCTTTGTTTTTAGCTTTGATTGCAAAAGCAAAATCTGGCCCAGCAAACAGCAACCCCAGAGGTAAAGGCAGGACAGGGACTCAGCATCCTTGAGCTGCTCATACCTTTCACTGCTCCTTGCCAACAAAAAATAACAGCAGTCAGGATGTCTCTTGCCTCAACCAGCACAAGAGAGAACAGCTGAAAAAATTTAGTCCATCTTCAAATCCACTTCTCTCCTCCTTGTAACACTTGAGAAGTAAAATCCAGTCATAACTATTGCTAAACATCAAGCAGTGACCCTCCAGCCAGGAGCTGGTGGCTGGGCTGGGCTTGTGCAGGCTTTAGAAAGCAAAAGTTCAGCTGCAGTGTGGAAGTGTCTGTTTAAAAACACTTTCCCCAGGTGGGCACTGCACTGGTTTGCAATGCCCGCTGGAAATGCTCAGGCCCAGCCCAGCAGGGTGGGAGCACACAGCTCCCATCAGAGCAGCAGGGTCCTTGGGAAGGACTCTGTGCAGGGATCACATGGATTCCAGCCTCTGTGGGTGCCATGGGAGAGCTGGCTGGTGATCAGGTCTCAAAAGCAGCAAATATCCTTTTTCCCTACCAGCACCCCCTGTTCCACAAAACACCAGTGACAAAAATCCCTGAGCTCCAGTATTTGCACCTCGAGTTACTCCTTGTCCAGGAAACAAAAGAGAAGCCCTAAAAGCAGCTCCAGAATGAGTGAGGATTTCTGGTTAGTAGAGACAATCCTGATAAACTCCATTCCCCACACTGGCAGACAATTAGCAAAACATCCCAGACATCCAAGGCAGGACTTTCCAAAGGGAGGGGGCTGGCATTCCCCAAAACAGCCCCTGCTTCCCATGCTGGCAGTCTGCCTCCCAAAATAACCAACATAGATATACACATATATAGTGTGGAGTGAAGCCTTACATTCCTTTTAAAAACAAGTCATCCTAAAAGAAAACCCTTTATACCTGTCCCCAGTATAAATAAAGTCCACAGCTCAATTGTGAATGGGGTGGTAGGTGATGCTGAGAAAACAGATCTCCAAAGAGCAAGCATCATCACCTTCTTTATAGGGAATCATCTTCCCCTCAAAGGAAAACCTGCTAGGAAAGAACCCTCCACCAGCATTAACAGCATTTTATTTCCTACCTCCTGTCTTGATCCTGAAGCCGCAGCCTGGCCTCACTCTTATCTCTCAAATGGAAATGGACAAATAGTCAAAAAACTGATTTCAACATGTTCCTCCCTCACTTCTCCTTTAAGCACGGGTCTGATGACTCTGCAGAACCCAGGGCGCCTGCCAGGCTTTGGCAAAGGGGAGACTGCAGGCACAGCAGGAGAGAGGAAAGGAAGGGGGTTTCAAAATGAGACATCCCTGTTTGCCCTCTTTGCCCAGGTGAGGAATGAGGCATCCCCCACTGAGTGCTGTGGGGCCAATGATTCCATACCCAGGAGGGATGTCAGTCATCCCCCTCCCTGTTTCCTGTGGGGCTCTCCAGTTACTCCTGCCCTGAGCCCACATCTCTCCTGCCACAGGCTCTCCTGAGCACTCTGGGGGCACCTGACAAAATCTGGTGGCACCTGGGAAGGAAGTGGGGAACACACAGATGTCCCACCTCATTTGGGACATCTTAGAAGGATGTCAAGGCAAACTCCATCCCTCTGGGAAGAGCAGAGGGGACTTCCAGCCACCCACACAGGACAGGGCAGTTGTGAAAGCTCTGTTCCCCTTGCCTGTGCTGGAGCAGAGGTTTGCACCAAGAGCTGCCAGAAGGGAATGCAAAGATGACTCTGAGGAAGTCACAGACTGTGACTGGGTGTAGACTGTGTAGACTGGGTGTCCTTCATTTGCCTCACATCACCTTGTGACCACTTTAAAATGTTTTCACCATCACTGTCATGTGTTGTCTTCCACTTCCCTCTCCCAGTGAGATAATTCCATTTCAGACACTGGATTTATCATCCCCTCAATGCAGGGACAGAGAATGGAGGACACATTTCAAAACCAATTTATTTGCTGGTTTGGGGGCTGAGTTGAGAGCAGCAGGACCTACAGCATGTGCCTGAGCTGAGGAGGGGCCAGGGGGATTCTTGTCAAGGTGCCAGAACCCAGGGCTGACACCCAGTGTAGAAATATCTTTGTGTATTCCATCACCATCTGTCAGAGCTGGGGCAGTTCTCTGCTGTTCATGGGGCAGTTTTCTTTGTCTCCCCCACAGCCACACAGGGGACAGGGCCTGCTCTGACTCCGACAGTGGTTTTTTTATTTGTACTATTACATTTGTAGTTTTAAAAATTTTTCTAGTAAAGAACTGTTATTTCTACTCCCATATCTTTGCCTGAGAGCCCCTTAATTTCAAATTTATAATAATTCAGAGGGAGGGGGTTTACATTTTCCATGTCAAGGGAGGCTCCTGCCTTCCTCAGCAGACACCTGTCTGCTCAAACCAAGACACCCAGGTACCTCCATGCCCATGGTGCCCATTAACCAGGTTATTCCGGAGCACAGATGCCAAATTACTGAGCAGCTCCAGCACAGAGCATTCTCCCCATGGCTTTTCCACCAACAATTCTCCCCACACATTTGCCAAAGCCCCACAGGAGCCCAGCAAGCTCCAGGGAGCCAGAGTCTTGTGATGGGAGGAGGCTGCAGGACAACCCCTCCCACCACCCCCACATTCCAGAGGGACACACCAAACCATGGAATATTGCTGCAGTCAGTCTGTGCCACCCTGTCCCAGCAGAGCCCAGCCCTCAAAGAGCAAAGTGCATGGAAAACGAGGAGGAGGAGACAGCTTGAGCAGGGGAAAGGAAAAGTTTAGAAAGACAGATTTGCTGAGCTGAGCTGGTAAATGGAGCCCAGCTGATACCTTTTGCTCCAGTGTCCATCAGCAGTAGGAATTGTGTAGGGAATGGCAGGTGGGCTGGGAGGACCCGGCAGGGAGGGATCCTGGTCTGTGTGCACCCTGAGGTGAGAGATCCAGCAGCCACCAGCAGCAGGTACAAGTCCCTTCCAGTGTCCAGAAACTGTAGGAATTGTGTAGGGAATGGCAGGTGGGCTGGGAGGACCCGGCAGGGAGGGATCCTGGTCTGTGTGCACCCTGAGGTGAGAGATCCAGCAGCCACCAGCAGCAGGTACAAGTCCCTGCTCCTGGTCCCCGTGACTTTGGGCACTTCATGTCCCACTGGGGCCTCTCCCAGTGGCACAGGGCCAGAAGGAGGGGGCTGAAATACTGGTTCCAGTCTCTTGGAGCTCCAGAGGGCAGACGGGTGAGTAACACCTGCAGTGGCTGCAGAGAGAGCCTTGACTAAAATAAATCAAGATCCCGCCCTGCACATCTCAGCGTTCCATCCCCACCCACAAACCTCACTTCTTTGTGTAGCTTTAACCTGGAACTCCTCCTGATCACAGCCTGCCTCCGCCCTGCACATCTCAGCGTTCCATCCCCACCCACAAACCTCACTTCTCTGTGCAGCTTTAACCTGGAACTCTCCTGATCACAGCCTGCCGTGGCAAAACTCACCTCCAACACACCCCTGGCACCTCTTTACAGGTGGTGGTGCCTGTGATGCAACAGGAGCTGCTCACTGGCAAGGGCTGGCTCTGCTCCTGGATGCTCTGGGAGCAGCTGGATCCAAACTCCACCCCACACCTCCTGCCACCTCCAGCAGTGTTTGCAAAGGGAGACAGTGCTGTGAGCAGAGCTCATAAATCAGTGGCCATCATGTGGCTGAGGCAGTTTGAGCATCTACAGCTCTGAGAGTGGTGGGAAGTCCTCACGATCTCCAAAGGAAGGCACACACAGGACAGGGAGGTGCTGGCCAGGTGGGCTTAACCCCACTCCCTGCAACTGCTCAGTGCATCCCTCCAGCAGAAAGAAATTAATGCATGAAGCTGGAGCATTTGAGGTAAAACCTGGGCAGAATGATGGGGAGGAAGAGGAGGACTCCATTTCTTCCTTTGCCTGGAGGCAACCCCAGGCAAGCACACACAGGATGGAGCAATCCTTCCAGGGTAAGGATCCTTAATCCCTAAAAATGAGATAATCCTTCCAAGGTAAAAAATTTCCCCAGCCCCCAGGGACAGTACCAGGATTTCAAGGCTGAGAGCAGGAAATCTGTCAGCAGCACCTGCGGTTCCTGCAGCAACACTTCTTTGCACAAGATCTCAAAGCACTTTGGAAATACCAGTTACCCCACAGTCCCCAGAGGAGGAAAGCAGCTGCATTTCCCAGCATCAGGGGCAGGGAGACACTTCTCAATTGAAGAGCCCAAGTCACATTAAACAGCTGTAGGTGGTGGTGGAAAAATCTGCCTCTGTCAAAGCATCCAACACTAATTGTTCCCTCCTCTCTTCCTCCAGCAGTGTAACACCAGCCAGCTGCTGGAGTTTAATGGTACCAGTCTGGCTGTCACATGGCAGCCTCCTGCTGCACAGCCAGTGAAACACTGAGGCAGGGACCAGACCTGGAGACGTGTCAATGAACATTTCTGCCTGCCCTACTCCCACCCGGCTTCCGGAGCAGCATCAGATTTCAATTTGCATGTCCCTGCTTTAATATTCAAAATGTTCTCTGTGGGCAGGACTGGTGACCCTTCAACCCTCCCTGACCCCTTTCCCAAGCAGAGAACAGCTCCAGTTTCCATGGGGGATGGCAGGGAGTGCTGAGTAGCAAAGCCAGATTTGGCTGCTTTGGCAGGAATTCTCACTAGCAGCCATAAATCTGGATTCCCAAATCGTGCTGCTGCACTCACCCAACCCCTGCTGAGCCTCGCTGGCTGTGACCTGCCCAGCCCAAACACTCTTCACTTCCCACCAGCACACTCCAAACACGGAGACCACACCCAAGCTCTTTTTGGCTCGCTCCTCCTCCCCTCCCCACAGACCGTGCCCAGCTCCAGCCTGGGGGAATGGGAACATTCAACCTCAAACCAGAGTGGAAAACCCACAGCTTCAACTCGATTTAGCTCACTGACACCCGTCTAAGGAATACTTCATTTATTCCAGCCTGACTGATCCTTTGAATTTCCCTCTTGCCAGACAGAAACTGTCTCTGGAGGTCTTGCCACTTCTGCACTCTTAAGGGAAGTGATTCAGCTCAAACCATGGAGCTGAGTGT